CTTTCTCCATCTTCCAAACCAGCAGTGGCCGGCTGTACCCTTTCCACATGACATCTGTCTTACATTTTTTTATTCTCGCAGCCAGGAAGGTTCCCCGAATTGAAATTGAGAGACTCACGCGATTACATTTAGGGCCCACTTAGATAACCCAGGATGATTTCTACATCTTGAGGCCCTTAACTCTAATCACATCTACAAAGTCCTGTTTGCCATGTAACAGAACACATTTACAGGTTCCAGGGATTCAGATGTGGATAACTTTGGAGAGCATTATTCTGTCTCCTACAAAGAATTTCACTTAAAAAGCCTGGAAGGAGCCTCCGCCGGATAAACCCTGCTCCTCTACCATCTCACAGATGAAGAAACAGAGAGGGAAGTGACTTACTCAGTGTCACTTTGCTAGTTCAGTTTAGAGCAGAGGTTGGATCCCAAGTCTCTTGACTTTGAGTTCAGAATTCTTTCTGCTACTCAAAGTTGGTCTGCTCACCAGCAGCTACATACATGACCTTGAGCTTGTTAGACATGCAGACTTTCAGGCCCCACGCCAGACCTACAAAATCAGTCTCTGCATTTTATCAAGATCCTCAGGTAATTTTTAAGTACCTTCAGGTTTGAAAGGCACTGATCTAGGACATCACAGAGCCTCCTGTTTCTTTCCTGACAAGAAAGTTGTACACAATCAATAGGTAAGTATCTCAAGAAGTTTGGCCTCATTGCTCCCTCCTGAGCCCAACTGATTTTGATCCAGGCTAATCAAATCTCTAAAGATGCAGATTTAACACAACCATCCCCAGTCCTTGTTTGTCTGGGCAACCTCTGAATGCCAGGTTCAGCGTTCCAATGTCATGCCATACAGCTTTCTCTTCTTGAGAAAGAGGCAGTACAACAGAGAAGTTGGCACTTGGGCTCTGGAGTCACCTTGCCTGGGCGCAACTCCTAAAACTACCACTTATTTAACAAACTTAAGGTCTGTGACCTTGGATGAGTTGCTGGTTTTCTCTGTGCCTCAATTTCCACATCTGCAGATGAGGATGAGAATATAGTACCTACATGATAGGTGAGTAGGGACTTGACATATATAAAGCACTTAGAACAGTGCCCGCCACTCAGCAAGAGTGATGTGTTAGTTCTTTCTCATTCTTCTGGGACCCCTTCCAAGAATAATCAAAATCCCAAATGAACTCAGTCTCTAGGAATTTCTCAAGACTCTGTATCTTCTGGGCTCAGAGGAGGCACCCTGACCATGGTTCCAGGTGACAAGAATATTCACTGGTTTAGAACCACACTCCAACCATCAGAACTACACTGGCATCGGGAGAAAGACCAGGAAAAAGGACCTAGCTTTGGGTTAGAGTATTTGGTCCCCTCGCATGTGATGTTCCACTGCCTATAGCTAACGCTTCTGTTCAGTCATCAAAGAATTTTAAAGCAACGTAGATGGGCTTAATTACATTACGTTTCAGAACAATTCTGAATAAAACAGAGGAGGGCAGGATGCTGAGAAACTTCAAACCCACATCACTACAGGGGCACACTCCTCTTTTTCCTCCTTCTCCTCCTCCTACTTTTACTCCTCCTCTCTTCTTCTTCTTCTTTTTTTTTTTTTTTTTTTAGGCTTTCCAGTATGGTCATCTCTTGGATCCCTATAATATCTGGGCTGACTTAAGAATTTATAAATAAAAATTATGTTTTTAAAAGCACCATATCGAAGTTGAAAATTGTAACTTGGCCTTACTGGAGGACACTGAAACAGAATTCATCATCTTACTGAATGAGCATCTGTAGGTTTTGCAATATGGCCTTTTAAGTTTTCTATTCAGCTAGCAATGGAATCTCAATGTTCAAAACTTCTTAAAGTTCATGTTATCTATTCCCCCATCCAATGCTCAGATCACCTTCATAACATCTTTCTTGATTTTAGAACTTGCTAAATTCTCACAGCTTTTAGAAAAATGGAAGAAAGCCAAAGATAATTTAATGGAAAGTTTAAACTCACCTCAAAAAGATTTTTAATTTCAAATATGAGGCATGTTATGAACTAAGAGACAGCATAAATGAATGTAAAATGTAAGTTAAACAACAATGAATAATTAATTAGTCTGCAATAAGCCAACCATACAGGATATATCACAAACATTATAAGAACTAACTAAAGAGGAGCGCCTGGGTGGCTCAGTAGGTTAAGTGGCTGCCTTCGGCTCAGGTCATGATCCCAGGGTCCTGGGATCGAGCCCCGTGTCAGGCTCCCTGCTCCAGTGGGAGCCTGTTTCTCCCTCTCCCTCTGCCTGCTGCTCTGCCTACTTGTGTTCCCTCTCTCTCTCTCTGTCAAATAAATAAATAAAATCTTAAAAAAAAAAAGAACTACCTAAAGAGCCTAAAAGCAGAAACACGTAGAAAAGATATTTCTAATAAACCATTGGTTTGAAACCTACTGTGATGATTCCCCTTTGTTGGACATGGCTTCAGAAATTCAGAAATGAATCTATTCTTAATGTTTTACTTAAAAAGGGGAACATTTGTTAAATCAGCTTTTTGAATTATAGAATTGTAGTACTAAAAAGAGATTATAGAGGTTATCTTTGTTCCAATGTGGAACTGACGCCCCAGAGAGGCAAAATGGTGTCCGAGGTAGGGCAAGATCTGAAGGATGACATCAGAAAGTATAAGAATCTTGAGCATGGTCCTTGAGTGCCCTAAAGGAGTCCGGGCTGATTTCTTCGAGAACTGGGCCTGGTCATTGTCAATTAGCAGCATATTGCAGTGACAAAATCAAACATGATGCCATCTCCAGGCCCAGCTTGCAATCAGGCGATGTGTGCTACGTAACAGGAGACAAAGCACATTTTCCTTAGATTCAGTTAAGCAGTGGTGCCTGCTAAGGGTTTCACTGACTCAAAGTCTCTACTATGGACCTGGTGAGAAGTGGCACCAGGGGCAAAGGCTAGACTGAATGGCTGCCTCCTCAATACTCACAGACCATGGTGTATGATATGTTTACTTACTAACTTTCCCTTTTAGCCCTAGAGAGATTCTAATGCAGTATCTGTCACAGAGAGCCAAAGGAACTAAATGGCTAAGAGCACAAGCTTTGTGCTCACACTCCTGAGATTTAAATCTTGGCTCTACCACATACTAGCTGAGTGACCTTATTTAAGTTATGTAATCTCTCTGCCATTTTTTCCTTGACTGTAAAATGGAGATAATTATAGTATTAGCACATAAGGTTGTTATAAAGATTAAGTGGGAAAACAAACTGAAAGAGTGAAAATGAATTCTGTTAGTAATCAGACTACAGTGTTTATAATGGAACATCAATACAAATTTTCTAACAGACCATACCCAAGGCCACACCACTGCTATAAAGTGACTAACAGTTCCTTCTTCTGAGTGAGTTCTGCCCTCATACCAACATCATCCCAAGTCTCACTTTGTTCTTCCTGCCTCCAGAACAAAATTTCCCAGATGCCCAATTGCTGAACTGTCCTTGCTTCTTGATAGTGTCCCAAAATAAGTCCCAGCTTCCCTGATGCCAACTTAAAATCACCTGGCATAAGTCCAAATCTTATAACAAGCCCCTCCCAACTCATAGAGACATTGTCAGGTGTATGCTTTCTCTTGTTGTCACAAGCTTACTAAACTTAACCTTGTATGAACTCAGGTGTGCTCCCAGTGGTCTTTGATAGATTTCCACAAGAGTGAACACATTCCATATGCACAAGAAATGCTAGCTATTGGCAGTGATAGGAAAGTCGTCTTTCCTCCAGCTTTGTACATGTACCATGCCTCGAGGTATGCTTGTTCAATGAAGAGCCTTTCTTATGTAACTGGGAAGCCAGGTAGCCTGGCTAGAATTAAGAGATGCAATTTTTCCTCCAAGGCCCAAAATATTATTTGGAAGTGTCCAGGGTAACCGCAATAGCAATTGGTTGAATGGAAGAGCAAACAAAGCAAAGATTTTGAGCCTACTGAATTCCAAGTAGTAACCAGGAATTGCCCATTGCCTGGAGATTTTAAGTCAGGCTAGCCAGATCACTAATAAAAAAAGACAGTTGAAATAGCTAAATTCTTAAGTTCTTGTGTCCAAATTTCTACAAACACCCATTTAACAAATAAGGAAATGGACTCTTGGAGAAGTAGAATGAGTGCTGATTAGGCTGGGTCTGGAACACAGGACAAGGCTTTATTTCTATAGAAGGTATGTTAGCTACTTACTGCTGCATCACAAATCACCCTAAAACTTAGTCAAAATAAGAGTCGTCATTTATTCTCTTTGGCAATTTCTTCTGGTCAGGAACCTGTGAGTTCCTTGGCTGGGCAGTTCAGGCTCAAGGTCTTTCATGAGATGCAGTTATCTGAAGGGTTGCCTGGGACTGGAGGATCCACTTCTAGGTGGCTCACTTCTGGCTGGCAAAGAGCCTCTCCACAGGGTTGTTCGAGGGTCTGTAGGACATGACCGCTGTCTTTCCCCATAGGGAGCAATCCAAGGGACCAAGACAGAAGTAGCAGTACTCTGTATGATCCAGCCCTGCAAGCCACGCATCATCACTTTGGCCGTATTCTATAGTTAATACATGTCGGCCCGGTTTCAGTGCCAGCTCTGTCCGTCTGCCAGATGTACTATTTTGGACCAGCACCAAAAGTCTGAGTCTCTGTTCCCTCATTTATAATATAAAAATAACAATTTCCTTTTGGGGCTGTTTCAACATAAACCAGTATAACAATATCAGGGTTTGTTTAGTACAATGAGCTGCCCCACAACGCACATTAGTTAGAAGTGATTTCGCTTCCTTAAGGAGCCTGTCTCTAGTTCGCCTCATTCTTGCAAAGTTTTAACTCCAAACATCCCTTTTTTTCACCCCCTGGAGAGACAAATCAGTCGTCAGTCCCTGCCCAACCATCTACTGATCTTAACCCGGATCCAAGGTAGGACTATCCGGAAGCGGAACTCTAGTTCCAGGGATGACCCTGGTGCCCGGAATGCATTGGGAAACGGACCGGAAGTGGCTCCGGGGCTCTCTTCCGATCACTGAGGGCAGCGGGAGACACCGGGCGGGACGCTCCCGGGAGGCTGTGGCGGACTTGCGGCTGCAGCGTGGAAACGCCTTGAAAGCAGAGCGGCGGGGCGCCGGAAAGAAGAGCGTGACAAGCCCTCCCCGGCCACTCTATGCCTGGTTGGAGGCTGCTGGCTCAGGCCGGCGCCCAGGTGCTGGGTTGCCGCGCGGGCGGCCTGGGTGCTGCCCGGGGCTCGGCAAACAGGTGGGTGGGCTAGAGACAGGGTGTGGGGTTGTGGTCCCTGCAAAGCACAGACCTGGAACAGTGACATGGCCCAGTGCGGAGGGGTCTGCCCAGGGTGGAGGAGGAAGGGGCGCAGTACCAGAACGCAGGCACGGAGGAGTGAGGAGCGTTACTCCAAGGAAGTGCCCATTAAAGGAGTGAAGGGGTGATTTTTTGTTTTTAATGTTTATGAGCCAGCGACTGGTAGAGAGCATTACCAACAGCAATAATATCTACCAATTAGTGGGCGTTTTCTGTGTACTGAATGCTTTGTTAGGTATATTAGGCGCCTTAGCTCGTGTAGCCTCACGAGATAGAATTGCTATTGTTAATCGTTTCACAGACACTGTCATTATTCCGTACTGTCATGATTGCAGTTTGCAGGTAAAAGGAAAGCTTGGGGAAGTAACTTACCCAGAGTCACTCAACTAATTCGTGTAAAATTGGGACTCTAACCTGGATGTACCTGACTACAAAAGGTGGATAGGCGACAGAAAGCCTTACTTCTTTTCTGACCCTCCGTGCAAGAATTACATACCTCCTTCCCGACACAAGGTCTTCCTTGGTGTGTTCACGTGCTCAGAGATCATGTCTTTTATGGATCTTCTGAGCCTAGGCCTTGTCATTGCTGGGAAGAGGTGAGCTTATCAGAGATCAGCATCCCACATTCTGCCACCTCCACTGGATGTAAACTATTAAAGTACACATACAAATGGGTCAGCTGCTCCTCTGTCTAGGTAGGACATCTCTGTTAGAAATTCGTTTATTCCAGAGGAGAAGATGAAGACCTTTTACTCGAGTAATCATTAACAGTTAAAGTGTGAACCCCATTATTATCATAAGGAATGTCAGGAAAAAAAAAACTTGCACAGATACCAAATCCTTCCCTAAGGCCCAGACTACACTTTCCAACTCATGTGACCTCCCTTCCCCACATTAAATGGAGGAACTTTTTATATTGTGATTTCTTTTATAATTTTTATTTTTACAGAACGGTCATCTGGCTTTTGGTTAGAGGTCTCCATGGCAGGAGTGGTACTTGGTGGGATGAGCATCTTTCTGAAGAAAATGTCCCATTTGTTAAGCAGTTGGTCTCTGATGAAAATAAAGCCCAGTTAGCAAGTAAACTGTGTCCTTTGAAAGATGAGCCATGGCCTCTACATCCTTGGGAACCAGGTAGTTATTTTATATTTGATGGTTTCTCATTTCCTAGTTACTGTGTGGCTGGAACATTCAAAATCATAGTGACTGCTTGATGAATGTATCATCTCTTGAATTTACTTTTCGTGTCTTAAGTGTGTCTGTTTCATTGTGGTTTGGTTTGCAAGGTTATTTCTAGCATGCTAGTCTACTATTAGCAAATGTCTGATGGTAATCAAGACTTCCTCAAGAAGCTGTTTTGTAGGTGAAAGGAAAATCATTCTGCATATGTTTTCTTATTTCCTTCAGATAAAAAAAAGTTATATAAAATAAATCAGGGAAGAAAAGCTGGAGAAGTATGATCTAAACTACACTGTGTCACACAGATGTTTTCAGTTGGAATGTTCTAGCACTCCAGGTTTGCCAAGCATAACCCCAGAATCAGCTCCTTGTGCTTTAGTAGAGTAGTAAACCCATGTGTAGCCAGACCAAAAATAAGGCCTGTCCTTATTTGAGGTTGAGAGTGGTCTTTGCTTGGGGTTTATTGTGACAGTTGAATTATATAGTGATCAGAAATTCTAGGGATGCCTGGGTGGCTCAGTCGGTTGAGCATCTGCCTTCAGCTCAGGTCATGATCCCAGGGTCCTGGGATCGAGTCCCGCATCCGGCTCCTTGCTCAGCGGGCAGCCTGCTTCTCCCTCTGCCTGCCGCTCCCCCTGCTTATGCACTCTTGCTGTCTCTCTGACAAATAAATAAAATCTTTTAAAAAAAATTCTTAGTGGAGCAGCTTTACTAACTTAGGCAAGAAATCTAAGTGGCATGGTGGAGGCTGACATATTTTAGCAACTTGACCACTTTTGTCATCCCTTAACGCCAGCTAAGTTCTTAGATTTGAGATGTTTTCTAATTAATGACGTTAGATATGACTTGATACTAGGAAAGCAAAGCATAATGATGGATTTATCATGTCCTCTATTAATACCATTATTTTAAAACCAGAATATATCAGTTTACCTATTTTCTTTATTTTGTACAGTTACCATATATTTATTCATTATACAGAGATTTATTGAGTAACAGTGTGTTACCCAGCCATGGTTGAAGTCTTTTACAGCTCGGAGGAATAGTAGTGTTTTACTCTATGAATATATTAGCATGTTTCTTAACTGTCTGTTGCTCATAATGAAACCACAGTGTAGAAATACTGTTGCTTCATGTTGGCGAATGTTGAAAAAGTTTGTAATAACACTGATTTGTTTTTAATTACCAGGTTCCTCTAGAGTAGGCCTTATAGCACTGAAGCTGGGTATGATGCCTTTATGGACCAAAGATGGTCAAAAGCATGTGGTTACATTACTTCAGGTAAGAAAGAAACAGAGGATGTAACAGATCTGTATGTGTGCAAGATCTATTTGTGCAAACCTGCATGGACAGTATTTGTATCCTGAAATACATGACTGTGATGAAGAATGGGCTAATGTCAAGCATAAATGCTATTAAAGAACTTTACTTCTGTTTCAGTGAATGTTTCACTCTTGCCTGAGGGATGGCCTTCTTGATACTGGCATAAGGATAACTACAACCATGAATAAAAAAAAAGATTGTAACCTAGCTTCTTACAGCTGTACCAGTTGAATTTATAATTGGAAAAAATCTTAGTTCCATCTTATTTTCATTCTTTCAACTCAAAAATAAAATTTTGATCTCTTTGCTAACTTAGAATGTAACATTCATGTCTGGGGAAGCAGCATTTTGTTGTCTGAGATAAGACAAACTAATGGTTAAGAATGTGGTCCCTGAGACCAGAATATCTGACTTTAGATCTTGTATCTGCCACTTCCTCGCTATGTTCCTTGAAACATTCTGCCTCCTCTGCAAAAGATATAATTGTATTTGGTAAAAGAAATAGTTATTACCTACCTCAAAGGTTTTTGTGAGGTTTGCACAAGGTAATAAACATCAAACACTTATAACAGTGTTAACTGTCCAATATACGTTAGCTGCTGTTGTCTTTATGATTATTATTAGAGAAAGATTACTGAGTTAGGAGACCATCATTCCCCAAATCAGTTTGGACACCTGCGTTCATCTTTGGGGCCTAGTCTTAGACAAGTGATTAGACAGATGTTGGTGATCGAAATGAGAGCTCATGCACATAGGCCCAGGGGGCCTACAAGCCTTAGGACATTTTTATTAACTCCCAATGATCAAAGAGAAGATTACAGTTTCTAAAACTCTAATGAACTTGGGGAGCTTTCAGGAATGACTGGTGGAATTGTGCATTGGTACAACCACTTCAGAAAACAATTTAGCATAATTATGTGGTAAAGTTGAGATAGGTGAATCTTGTAGTCTAGAAGTTCCACTCCTGAGTGTTAATAGAAAACTTGAACTTTATTATTTTACAAGAATGTTTATAGCAGTATTGTTCTTAATACTCCAAAACTGGAAATAACCCAAATGTCCAATAGCAGAATGGATAAATAAGTCGTGGTATTCATGTAATGGAATGCTGGATAGCAATGTAAATGAATAGAAGAGAGTTACACACAGCAATATGGATGAAACTTAGAAATATAAACAAGTGAAAGAAGCAAAACATGGAAAAGTACATACAATCTGATTCTGTTTATACAAAGTCTAAAGTAGGCAACAATAAACCACATGCTTTCAAAGGTAGCAACTGTAAGGAAAAGTAAGTAAATGATTACCATGTGTCAAGAATAGTATTTATTTCTAGGGCAGTGCTTCTCAAACTTTAGCAAGCCTTAATCACCTAGAGGGTTTGTAAAACGAGATTCTGATTCATTTGGTCTGGGCTGGGCATGAGGATCAGCATTTTCACCAAGTTCCCAGGTGATGTTGATGCTGCTTGTTTGAGGACCACACTTTGAGAACCACTGCTCTAGGGGTTAAAAAAAAAAAAAAGGTGGGGAGGGAAATTACTAGAAAGAGACAGAGGCTTTGTGGATTCTACTTCTTGACCCCGGTTGGTGGTAAATGCGTATTTTCTTCATAAATACTCATTCTGTTGTATATTTATGTTTTAGGCACTTTTCTATATGTGTTGTCTGTATGCTCTGTCTGTGCTTGACATTTTTTTTTTAAAGTTTACTTCTATATTTTAAGATTGTGATTGGTGTTAGAGGAATGATGAGATAACTTTAGGGAATTCCTAATTGTCCTATGGCTTCAGTGTGACTGGTATGATATGTTAAAGTGTATCTTAGCACATACTTAGTTTTTTTTATATTTGTTTCCTTAGGTACAAGACTGTCATGTTCTAAAATATACTCCAAAGGAAAACCATAATGGAAAAATGGCAGCCCTAACTGTAGGAGGAAAAACTGTATCACGTTTCCATGTAAGGATGTGTTTTCATTCTTTAGAAGAGTACATTTCATTAGTTTCAGATCTGAGTTCTTTAGGTTTTGAGGCTATTCCATAGTCACAAATTTGTGTTTATCCATGAGGTACATTATGGATTTGAGGGAAGGCAGTCTAGTGAAGCCATTGAGCCCGGGATTCTGAGAGAATTTGAGTTTGTTCCAGTACCTCTCCTCAGTATTTGGAACAGTAACTTTACCCTCTAAGCTGAAGTATTTGCCCATCTGTACAATAGGGATAAAAATACTACTTACCTAAGAGGTTTGTTACCAGGATTAATAAGATTTTTCATATGTACCTAGCATGTCACAGACACTTAGTAGATGGTAGCTATTTTGTCATTTATGTTTAATTTCTCATTTTTTTCTAAGTTGTCTCAATACCTGACACCAGCAGCATGTGGGGATTAATTTGTATATATTAGAAAGAACTTTCTTTGTGTGTGTAATTTTTTTAATCTGAAATCATCACTATAAATATGAGAATACAGTACAGTATATCATACAATCAGTAAGTTGTTTTTATTTTCACTGTTGTACACTGTGTATAGTGACAAGGAAAGGGCAGTTTTGGAGGAAAGACGTGTGTGAGGTGTTTACAGAAAATTCAGGTGGAGTTGTCCTATAAATAGTGGGATATACTGATTGGTGAGTTTAAGGTGGTTAAAATCATTGGAGTCCTATAGTTTGATAGGACTAGAGGCCATTTAGGCCTGTCTCCTAAGTGTTAGAGAAGTTAGCTACTTTGCATATTATGGTAGTATAGTCTATATATATTTTAGTCTGCTATTGATTCTTGACAGTTTATTGCCTAATAATTTTAGGGTTTAAATAGTTTCACAGTAATGAAAAGCACAGTGAGGTATTTATGAAAACTGTAAAAAAATGTCAGATTTTTTTCAAATGTTTGAATTTTTTAAATGTGTAAATACATGCTAGTCTTCATGTGAATAATTCTTTGATTTGATAGGTGCCTGTTTTCTCATTGATTGTACTTCTGTGCTTTTGTTATGTTTAGCACAATCATCTTTATTTTCATTACCAATTTTGTAAATTCATGACTTTATTGCCTTGATATATGTAAATCAAACATGATGTTGGGGTAATCCATTCTTGCACCAACAGATCTGTAAACATTACTTCCCAGAACTATGAGATAGTGGAAAAACAAGTGGATGTGGGGTCAGAAGAGCTGAGTTCTAATTCTGATTTCTCCCATTAGCTCCCTTCACTCCACTTTTTTTAAATAACCATTTTCTTACACATAAAAACAGGGAATTGGACTTGATGGTTGCTAAATCCTTTTAGTTCTAAAAGTCTCCTTTGGTTCTCCAATATCTTAGTTCTCAAGAAAAAACAAAAGTTCCCCCCCAAAATGTATTTGGCCGCTCAATTTATTCTATTTTACTTAGTGAGGAAAATGTCCTACAGAGTTTATGAATACTAATAATTAAAATATTTCAGAAATGGGGAGCCTGGGTGGTTCAGTTGCTAAGCGTCTGCCTTTGGCTCAGGTCATGATCCCAGGGTTCTGAGATGAAGTCCCGAGTCTGGCTCCCTGCTTAGTGGGAGCCCCTCTCTCTGCTTGTGCACTCTCTCTCTCTCTCTCAAATAAATCTTTAAAAAAATTTCAGAAATAATAGTACTTTCATACTTGAGACTGTGGTCTACATATTTTCAGCTTTATTCTCTTTAGTGAATATACCGCACAGCAAGATGATTTGGATGCCTTATTATGTTGTGGTGGATTTCCACCCACTTACTTACACACATTTTTTATTTACTTCTCTGGTATGGAGAGTGCTACAAGGGTCTTTCTTGTTCTTCAAGATATACATTTTCTACGGGTGCCTGTGTGGCGCAATTGGTTAAGCAACTGACTCTTGGTTTTGGCTCAGGTCCTGATCCCAGGGTTGTGGGATCGAGCCCCCCGTCAGGCTCTGCCCTCAGCGTGGAGTCTGCTTAAGATTCTCTCTGCCACTCTTCTCTGTGCATGTGCGCGCATGCGCGTGCGCTCTCTTTCTAAAATAAATAAATCTTTAAGAAAAAAAGAAGACAATAAATTTTCTGGGTCCAGAGGACATGTATTACAATATTAAGAAAAAACTTTGTCTTTGAATGACCTTTCTTCAGAATTAGATGTGAAAATGAAGTTTTAGAATTCTTCATAAGTAAAGAATTTTGGTTCAGAAAGGGAAAAGATTTTCAAAACTAAAAATATGCAAACTTCCTCTTGCATATTGTAACCCTCGGACAAACTGCAAGTAGATTGGTTATAGAAGGTTTTAAAAACAAATATACTGGGGCGCCTGGGTGGCTCAGTCATTAAGTGTCTGCCTTCGGCTCAGGTCATGATCCTAGGGTCCTGGGATCGAGCCCCGCATCAGGCTCCCCGCTCCGCGGGAAGCCTGCTTCTCCCTCTCCCACTCCCCCTGCTTGTGTTCCGTCTCTCGCTCTTGCTGTCAAATAAATAAAATCTTTTAAAAAAAACAAAACAAATAGACCTTTGAATATAAAATATCAAATAGTTAAGTATTCTAAAATGAATTGACTGAATCAGTTTTATTTATAATAGGGCTAGAACTGTTTTGTTTTGTTTTGTTTTACCCTGTAAAGAATTTAGACTTCCCAGAAATTACACTGTTTTGCTTTTGCTATTTTTGTAACTTATTATAAATATAAACATAGGAAGTTAAGTGGCCTTAAAAGTTGATTAAATCAATTCATCTTAGGAGCAGAGAAGCATTTTCATTGTGAGAAGGATAATTGCAGAGAACTTTGAAGAGGGAGAAAAAAAATGCAGCCTCATAGATGGGATTATCCAAGTGTGACACTGCTGTCAGTCTTTTAAATTGCCTTTTGAAATCATTTATTTGGAAGTTAAAAAAAAAAAACTTCAGTTACACTGCTGCTGCTTTCAACCCAACTTGAGCATTTGGATTTTCTCATGACTGATACCTAATTAGTTTTATGATATTTTGATTTTTAAAAGAAAAAATTATTCAGTTACAGTGAAATTGGAATATAATCAAGAGTACGTATTACCTTTTATGTCTCAGTCTGTAGTTACTTAGATCAAGATGTTTATCTTATCTGTGTTGTGTTTCTGAAAAAGTAAAAGTTTTTTCTTAGAAGCTTCCTCACATACTTAGAAACTGATATTAATAAAAGAATATGCTTTTAAAATCATCAGGTAGAATATGTGAATGTCAAAAATAAATTTAAAGTGTTCTAAAATGTAATAAATTTAAATCTGATACATCAGGAAAATAACTGCAAGGAGGCACATTTTTAAATGAGAACTTATGTGTTTGCTTTTGATGTGAAGGAAGTGTGCATGGTTGAAGATGAAAAGTAGGGGCCTAGGGACACCTGGGTGGCTCAGTCGGTTAAGCATCTACCTTTGGCTCAAGTCATTGATCCCAGGACCTGCGTCAGCCTCCTTGCTCAGCGGGGAGTGTGCTTCCCCCTCTCCCTCTGCCCTTCACCCTGCTTGTGCTCTCTCTCTCTCCTCTGACAAGTAAATAAAATCTTTTAAAAAAAGAAAAGAAAAGTAGGGGCCTTGATAAGGGTGGTGTTGACTATCAGTGTTAGATTTCAGCATGTGGGAGGCAAAACCATAGGGAATGACTGGGATGAACTTATGTTATTACTCTTGGAGGAAAGGAGGAAAGGATAACTTCTTGAGGGAACACTGTAAGGTACAAAACAACCTTTCGTGGGCATCCAGAGCAGGGCTTCTCAGCATCTGTTGCATGGGTCCACTGGAGGGCCCCAAGGACATTCCCAGGGCTTGTGGGCTGATCCAGAAATTAACTTTCTATGCTTACAGGCCAGTGCCACCCAATTTCATGTCAACCAAAGGCAGCCTTCTCAGTAAGTTACAAAGTGGCACTAACAGTTTACATTTTAAACTGAAATCATCAAGTAACTGAAGATTGCTACATATTCATATAATCTATAATTAAGACTGGCTGTGCAGATACACCATTGGATTGGGGCAGTGATGCTTGGTTATCAGTACATCATCAGCATCGTCTTAAGTTGGTTAGGGTCTTTCAATTGCTGCTGTTCTTGCTTTTTTTACTACAAATTACTCTTGGTTTGGTTTCATAGTAGTTTAGTTTCTTGAAGATTTGTTCATCCGCAGAATAAGATCTTTATTTTAGGCCTACAATTTTTTAATAACTAGACTTGCAAATAACATTGTAGGGTGCCTGAGTGGCTCAGTCAGTTAAGTGACTGCCTTCGGCTCAGGTCATGATCCTGGAGTCCCGGAATCGAGTCCCGCATCGGGCTCCCTGCTCAGCGGGGAGTCTGCTTCTCCCTCT